TGCATGACCTTGACTCCCTCCCCACCAACTTGTCCTACCTCAGCAGTTGTTTTACTCTCATGTCTCAGACCTGTTTTTCTTGGCTTAGCTGGGGGTCTCTCCTTGGGAAGACGTGCCAGGAGGCTAAATGTAGCATTCACAACCTGATTGCTTGATTGGTTCTTGAGAAGCAGTCCTAAAACTGACAGCATGTCCCGAACACTTGCAGGGTTAAATAATTGTGGTTTTGAGAGCTTTGGGGTGAGTCAGTGGAAAAAACTGGCAGCTCTAGGAAAGCTAAGACTGACTCATAACCCAAGAAGAGCCTGAGGAGCTCCAAATCCAGCTGCAGTTTAGGTAGGGGAATGGAAGAAAAGACATTTGCATGCAATTGTGTCCTATTGCTCCAGCAATGTGACCCCACCCTGTAGCGGAGAAAGATGTCTCACACTTAACAAATGGAAAGAGTATCCTGTCCGTCATCAATGCTCTGCCAGCTTCTCTGTCTAATGGGAGGAAAAGTCCGTCGGAGACAGAGATGACTCTATTTCAATGCCGTTGGTTCACCCACTGCTCCTTTGGGATTGTTCTCTAGTGTTTTATTTAAAAGGCAGGGAGAGATGAAGGAAGGGGAAAGAGAATGGAGAGGGAGGCTTGTGCTTTAACTCACAAAGAATCAAAACTAAGCTGTGAGCACATATCCCTGGGGGAGTTTGCATTTGATAGTGTGTGTATTCAGGGAGAGGTGCTGACGTTCTCAGGAAGTAGGTGCACTGAAAGCACCTGAACTAACAGTGCTCTCCAGCAGTGTGAGAACAGGGCAGAAAAAGCAAAGGGAATAAAGGATTTGGGGTTTTTCTTAGCATATTGGTCAAAGTTCTGGGTGTGGAGGTTTTTTTTTACATTGAAAAGTAACATTTATCCCTCATTTTCATTTCTGAATACAAACAGAAGATGCATTTAAAAGAGCTGTTCTAGTCCTTTAGGGTGTCATGAAAGTAGGTTTTTAGTCTTTCAAGTACAGCGCTTTTTGATGGTCCTCAAAAATAATCGGCAAAAAATCTGCTGAATTAGTTTTTAAAGAGGCCATGAAAAAATACATCCATCTAAGAAAGAAGAAACTTTAGCCACTGTTCAGTAAAGGCAAATTTCGTAGCAGCAGGGAAATTTGCCACAATTGGTATATGCATGCCAATACACCATGGTGGTAAGAGCACTCATTACAGTTTGTGTAAGAACCAAGGTAATCAGAAAAAAGGATGACAAGTAGTCAAAGGGATGGGAAGATTTGACTCAGAGGCTCTATTCCAGGCACCTGCTGCAGATATATAACTTAGCCATGGCAACAGCAAATTTCTCAGCTCTAAGTACAGTGGCAATATCCATATCAGTTGCCATCCAGCATTTTGAAACCCTTGTTCCTTTTGCAATCAATGGAAAGAAGGAGTTTAATGCTCAGGTCAAGTGTGTTCATGCGGTAGCCTGTATATAGTATTGAGAACCTGGATGTAGTGATGCTGAACTCATAAATGTCCATTACTACAGTCAGAGAAGAACCCCTAGGAAGGCTGTACTATCTCCATCATCATCACTGAGGGAGGTACTGTGACAACAGAGGGCACAGTGACCTGGCCATCCGGGAAAATCATGAGCATGAGGAGTTTGCTAGGACACCCCAAAGCAGACAAGCAAGGCCAGCCCCATGTTCAGCAAGCTAGGGCTAAACAATTCCAGAGAGTTCTCCCAGATGAAGGAAACCTCGCAGAGGACAAGTTGTTGCTGAGGAGACAGGGCCAGTCACCAAACCTAATCTGTCTTTCTAAGGAGTGGCCTTGTTTGGGTGGGAGGAGTGACTTCACAGAGCTGGTTCCTTGAGATCCTGAACTCAAGGAATTCCTCCTGGTCATCAGCTAATGCTGAACTGGACAAAGAGCCACTGATGGAGAAGCCTGCCCGCCTTCTGTGGTTTGGGAAACTGTATCCAAAGCAGTGCAAGGAATAGCTGCAGCACTTTACAGGAATACACTCCCACACATGGTCACAATGAGAGGAAAGACAGGAGTGGAGAAGGTGGAGTCACTGAGTTAAAAAAAAAAACAAATGCATTTGTTTTGTCCGCATTCATGGGACTTTACAAAGCCTTTTGTTACAGTTTGCATGAAAGACATCATAAAGTATAATTGTGTTGTTCCATGACAATGTTACCACACCCTGTACAAATGGTGACAGCATCAAACCTTACCTGAGTCACCTGGACCAAAATAACTTGACAGCCAACAATAGTCACAGACTTGGTGCTGCTCTTCAGTACCAACACTATCAAGAGGAAGAGCCCTATGAAACAGCCCTATGAAACTTTCTAGGAAGCAGTCTTTCACTGGCCACAGAGTGGACCCAGTAAGATTTTCTGTCTGATTTCCATGGCTATACTGCACGATTACTAGTAAATGCCTAGAAGGAGGGGAAATATGCTCACTCGCTTCATGTGAATTGTCAGCACTCGCTCTCACAGCTTAGATTTGTTCCTTGTATTTTGCATTTTTTGGGGAGAAGTCAGCAGCCTTGACGAACAGTGTCATGAGAGGTATCTAAAGGACATTCCCCTCCTTTTCCAATCACATGTTCATCAATGGCAGGGAATCTTAGAAAAAGTAAAAGCTTGCAGGGTACACAAAGCAAAAAAAAACCCAAACCCCAAAACAAACCAAAGAGGAATTTGCATTACAAGAGAATCTAATTGCAGTAATAGCGATCTGCAGGCCTCAAGTTTTAAAAGGGAAACAGGCAGTTTTCATTGAAAACCTGAGCATTTTCCTCTGCCCCAGAACACCTCAGTGTAGTTTCTGTGGTGGTTATTCTCCTCTTCACATAATGGAGCAGGCCATTGAGTAGCAGTAGGCCCCCAGTCCACTCTTCGCCGCTGCTCAACACCTGATGCACCCAGGAGCACACAGTCCTCCACTCCACACCACCTGTCCATGTCCCAGACCAGTTGGAGGAGGCTGTGCCACAAGAGGGAAAGGGAGAACAGGAAGAGAAAATCTTTCCTGACCTCTGTGAATCCTGTGGGCAAAAACTCCTCTTCCTGGAGTGTAGGCCTAGAGTATGTTATTTTTACTTTACATAACCACACACCAATTTAAGCAATCTGTGTATACGCTCAGGCTATTTTTAAAATGCCCCCAAGCTAACTACCCCTGTTCTACATCTCCTCCCAAACTGGTTCCTTTACCTCCAGGCTTTCTTTAACTTCTTGAGCAACTCCCTTACAAATTTTGACAAAGGTTTTAGCAATGTTTTTTTGTGACTACATGTTTCCAGAATGGATTTAAGATCAACCTGTTTTCTTGCATGTAAACAAAGCTTATAGTAATGCTATTCTTTGATTCAGCCCTTCCCTTCACCTCCTCCCTCTATTCTTGTTCTCCTCCAGAGCTTTCTGTATCGGTGACACCACCTAGAAGGGACCCAAGATGTTGGTGCTACTGGCTGGTATCTTTGTGGTTCACATCGCCACTGTCATCATGCTCTTCGTCTCCACCATTGCCAACGTAAGTAGAGACCACCCTGGATGAGACAGGGCTATCGCCTTCCGCAGCAGTAGCCAGCCCTTCATACGGCTTGCAGGGGGGACAGGCAAGTTGGAGCTCAGGTCTATAGGTGAGGGACACCCGCTCACGGCCATGGATGATGGGTGAAGCAGTCATGGGTGTGCTCAGGGAGTGGAAAGGCAGCTGGGGTGGTACAAGAGGCAGCCTCCACCTGCTGCCTCCCGCTCCCAAATCCCAGAGCCAGCAGCACCGCAACGCTCTTCATCCAAGAGAGCGCAAAGAGGAGCAGGGGAGATCAGCAGATGACAGCTCTGAAGCGGTATTTATCAGCCCATCTGGCAGCCAGGCTGTCGCACAACTGGACGCTCCTCCATACCCGTCTGTTTTGACGGCGACAGCCCGTTGCTGGGGGCTGCGGGGGGGGAGGGGGGTCTCCCAGCGCTGCTCCTCATGGAAAGCCCAAGCGAAGGGGTGCGGCCGCCCTCCCCGCATCCCCCCCGGTGCCGGGGAAACCCGGGGCGAGGGTGACCCCTGGCGGCTCGGTGGAAGTGGCAGCGCCGCCGGGGTCGTCTCCCCCCCGCCCCACGCCCCTCTGGGGCGGATTTCGGGGTCCCTCGTACCCCGGGTGCCTCGGCGGCTTGCTCGCCTCTTCGCACCCTCCTGCCGCCTGGTACGGGGAGAGGACGCTGTGAGTGATTCCCATCCCCCGATCATGGGAACAGACTTCCCCCGTGTTTTGCCTGGACTGAATGCCTCCTGGCTTTGGAAGCCTGCGTCATCTCCCACCCGCTTCGGCTGTTCATCTGCTGCCGACACATGCTGAATTTTTTTCAGCTCTCTGCCTCGTGGCACTGGGGCTACTCTTGCTCCCTGTTACGGTTCAGTCTGACAACTGGCCAGAAGAGCAAGGCAGCACCTTTGTGACACGACCGTTTCGTCCTGTTTTTAGGTTTGGATGGTGGGTTCTTCCAACTTAGGAAACGTCTCAACAGGACTCTGGCTACTGTGCAACCAGACCTGCGAGCAGCTGCCAGTCAACAGTCGTGATGAGGGTAAGTCACATCTGCATTTTCATTGTGGTGATGAATTGCAGAACGTTTACGCACAGTACCAAGGCTGAGTCCTGACCTTCACAAACCTCTTCCCTGTGTGTTCACAGCTTCCCTCAAAGCCGTGCAAGCCTTTATGATCCTCTCGATCATTTTCTCCGTCATCGGGCTCGTCATGTTCATTGTCCAGCTGTTCACCCTGGAGAAAGGCAAACGTTTCTACCTCACTGGAGCCATCATGCTGGTTTGCTGTAAGTATGCATGCCTTGCGATAGTGCTGCCTGTGTCCCACTGCCTCTGCGAGCACAAGTAGCCACACATCTGCCACATGCGGCCATTGGGGGAGGTTGTCAACCAGCTAAAAGTTTCAAGTGGCCCATTTTTTTTTGATAAAACAAAGCACTGAGGAGCTGGAAAGTTGGTTTGTGGTGTTTTTTTGGTTTTTGGTTTTTTTTTTTTTTACTGTATATAACAAAAATATTTCCAGATTTTCATTAGCAAACCCCAGTGGGTTTTGCAAAATACCTTTGAAAGACAACAAAAAGGACTCAAGTATTTGGGGGGGGCAGGGGAATAAACAGTTAGACAGCTACTGCTCATGGGATTCAACATGTAGCACCAAACTGTCTGCACATCTTATTACTGATTTCCTCCCAACAAAGGTTTATTCCCCATAGCACCCACTAAACAAGCCCCAAGTATCTTATGTTGTCATGTCTGCAAGAGAAAACCTCCATAAATAAGCCTAATGGGCAGCAGCCCCTCTCTCATATGGCACAAAACATGCATTACGATCTCAGGGAACAGTGGCACTTTAGAAGTCCTGCAGCAATGCTGGTTTCTGTGCATTTTCCAACTCTCTTTTCTCCCCTTCCTTCCCACAGGGATGTGCATTCTGATCGGAGTCTCCATTTACACAGCTCGGTTCACAGGCAAGGTGCCTGAGTCCACAAGTTCACACCATGGCTACTGCTTCATATTGGCCTGGATCTGCTTTTGCTTCAGTTTCATCATCGGCGTCCTCTACCTTGTTCTTAGGAAAAAATAAGGCTGATGGGAGTCTAGGGGAGAGGGTTGGCTACTGGGAATGGGGAAGAATTGCTCTGCTGAGAGAACTGTTGGGCCAATAGAAAAAGATGGAAACAGCCACCATCATCACCACTGCCGCCACCACAGAAAAATCACTAACAAAGCTAGAATCCTCAGAAGCTCCTACACCAAAGAGAGGGAGAAACAGCTCCAACTGATCTAGCACTCCTGGGGCTGTTGCACCAGAAATCTGGAGGTGACCCAGGCAGCTGTTCTCCTTTTCTGCAAAGTTATGTCATACCTTCACAAAGCTTCAAGCTCAGCAGTGATGATTGAAGGGCACCACAAAAACAAGGGCTACATCTTTTTCCCTTCCTAGAGCCCTTCTCACTTACTTTTCGGTGTGCCTTGTGGGTTGGGCAGTGAGGCTTATGACCCCTTTTTTTTGTCCATGGAAACAAATGGGATGGGCCTTTTGTTACATTTATATATATAGATATATATGCACATATGTGAAAGTTAAAGACATTAAATTGAAAAGCAACCAATAGAAATCAGATTAAATTACTATTAAAAATATCTACAGAAATAAGGCAGCATTTTTTTTTTTTTTTGCTGCTGCTCTGTGAGCAATTTGACGTTTCCATGGTTGAATAAGATTGAGGTAGGAAGGGCAAATTTACAGGTGTGGATGATGGAGAGAGAGAGAGAGAGAAAGTGTGGGGTTGAAGATACACAAGGGTTCCTAATTACAGAGGATCAGTTGCTCAATGAGGCACATGCAGGGAGGGAATCATTCAGGTGTGTGTCTACAGTAAAATCTTCTGTTCAGCTCCAGAACATGGTAACAGCACTGCAACATTGCAGATCTTTGCTGAGACAAGTCCTTATCTGTAGGCAGGGTTTTTTCCCACATTGTCACCCAGGACATGGTATTAATCGAGAGCATCACCTTGTGACACAGCTCATCTCAAAGGCAGATGACAGTGGTTAGCAGAGGAAATGTATTCCCTAATGAGAGATTTGGAGAGACCAGGTGAGGCTTGTGAGTTCTGCTCCTTGCTGCACAACCTTAGGCCAGTCACTTAACCCGGTGCTTTTCCATCTGCCAAATTCTTCCATAAAACTATACCTACCTCCCAGGGTTGCTGAGAGATTTTACGTCCACTCTGTAATACGAGGTCCCCGTGTAAAAGGTTGGAATGGGAAAGTAAGGCATTGGTACTGCTGCAACCCATAAATTTCTGTCAGTTCGAAGAATCTCAGTCACAAGTGGCATTTAGAAGGGACAAGAGGTCAAAACTTCCCGTGACTCCATCCACAACTAAATGGCAGAAAGTATAAAAAAACATGCAGGTGCAGATTGTGCGTGGATGCTATTTACTTCTCTCTCTCTCTCTTTCTCTCTCTTTCTGTTACATTTTCTTCTTATGTAGACTTTATCAGTTTGGTGGATATATTCTAGTTCTGTATGTTGCTGTTTCATTAACAAAGGTTATTTCATATATAGTCATTGTAAATATTTTGAAATGCATATTTTTAACTTTGAGGGTATAAAAATAAAATCTGATTCCCTTTATTATAAAGAGTTTTGCTTTGATGTTTTTTTTTTCCCCATTAGCATTTCAGATATTTGTTAACAGAAGCATTTGTTGTTCCCACTGAATCAAAGCTCACTCCTTCAAGATGATGCAGAACTACCATGTTCTCTTGCTTGTCAGTATATGAGATTTCCCATTTTGAAGGGGAGGAGGAAGCGGAACAACTCTCAGAGATCCTGTTTCAGACTCTCTGCAAGCTCAAGCAGATAGTGTGAGCGTAGACAAACAACTGACTAATTCAGGGCAGTTGACTACAGTAAATCAGCCAGACCAAATAAATGGTCCACATGCTCGTGCTGACTAAAATCACACCAGGAGGTAGCAGAGGCCATACTCAGAGGACAGCCCTGCCAGACTCAACTTTTCTGAGAGCTCCTAAGGAATGAGGATAAACAGTTCTCCAAACAGGAGGTGCGTGGCATAAGGAGGCATTGCCAGCACAGACCATTTTGTTAGGAGGAATAGATAAAAGCTATTTCCATGCTCACTACAAGGTAAGGAGAGCAGAGAGCTGCAGGCAAAGCTAAAAATGAGGGAATGCCAAGGGGGCAGGGACAAGAGCAGGAGAGACTCTTGCTTTCACCAGAGAGTCAGGCTGCGCAGGCTGGGAAGAAGCAGTCCAGTAACTGCTCACGTTAACAGGTTTGAAATCACCTGTACATGTTCAGGGGAGTGTTGCAAAAGCCTCTGCAGACAGCTCAGGGGAGAGTCCTGCTCTGTCAGTGGCAGGAGCCAAAACTGGCCCAGCAAAGTAACTGACTCCCAGGCTGATCAAGGGGTGATGACAGCGCTGCAAACACAAAGGCAGCGGCACCATTACAGAATGCAGCTGCCTGCCAGCGCCCTCAGAGCAGGAGAATGGCTTGATTCCGTTGCAGCAAAGAAGACAGAGAAAAAACACACCACCACCACCAACAAAAAAGCATGCAAGGAATGGGGAGATGATGGGAGGCATAAAAGATGATGCTAGGAGTGGTATAAAAGATCATGGGTCACTTCCAGCACTGAAGTAAATCTCCACTGCTGGCAACCAGGGTGCAGATAGCCTAAGAATCGTTTAACAGAGCAAAGAAAGATGAAATCAGTGTGAAATATCCCACTCAAAACATATCCAGCCCAGGGGGCAGCCCAGAAATGTATGCTGCAGTTGTACTAGTTGTCTTTAGAAGGCTGCCTAATCTTGTGATTATTTACATTTACAGCTCTGCCTGCTCAGATAATAAGAGCAGGCAGGGTACCAGTTGATTGCTGGAGGAACTGGGAAGGAATTTTAATCCCAGACCCTCTGTTCCCGCATTGCACAGTTGGCGAGGTACATCACTGCAGGCAGCTCAGCTCTCCTGACATTGTCAGAGCCATGGTATTGGAATTAGATACACCGGTGATCTGATGCATGATGACAAATCTCATGTTGCACAATTCACCCGAAGTATGTGGATATCTGGTATAAATATACACCTTGTCATCTGTTACACCGCTGAGGAAACTTGATTGCCTCTCTGCTCAACCTAGCATGGAAGGCTGTAGCTGGCAGCCTTCCTCCTTTCCACTCCCTCTGAGGCTTCTCACGTGGACCAGGCTAGCCAGGGACCAGAGGGCTCAATCCATAGGGTGAGGGGCCTCTAGCCAGTGTCTTCCCAGAGGCAAGTACAGGAGGCATGCTCCTCAGCAGAGATTTATGAGAACCCAAAATGCTTCATCTGGTCTCTCAGGCTAATCCCAGTGTCAGGATTTGGGCAACAGAGCTGGATCTATCTGCAGTGAGGTCTAGAGGAAAAGGCAATGCGGTGGAGCTCTGCCCTGTGAGTATGGTCACTCCCACACAGGTGACCTGGAGAGCACAATGCAGTCAGAGGTGCTAAAGAAAGAGGTGTTGGGGATGCTTCTGCCTCTCTCCACCTTCCAGGTAAATCTGTGGGCGGACAGAGGCCTGACTTTTGGCATTCACAGATGGATGCGACTTTTTTTCCCTGACGTTTGTGGGGGATCATATATTATTTCTTCCTCTGGAAGCAACTCCCAGAATAATCTGTTTCATTCACATGCTCACTGTAGAGCTCTTTGGGCCTTGCCCTGATGATAAGATGGAGCTGGGAGAGCGAGCTGTAATTCAGTGAGTAAAAGCACTTCCCAGGGCTTTGGGAGAGGAGGGGGATGTGTGGCTCTGAGAGACAGGGGGATATCAACTGAATTGGGCAGTATCTTGTTATCGCTGCCCAGAAGCCATACATAAAAGGCATGAATAAACACATCCGGGCAGCTTAGCCAAGCAAAGAAGAGGTGGTGCTGCAAGCATGGCTGGCAGGGGGGCTGGGAGGGTCAGGATGCAGAGCTGAGGGGTGGGGAGCTGGCAAAGAGGCTTCCATGTGCTCCTCACACTGCAGCCACAATGCTGAGCAATGCAGAGCTCCCTGGGAGCTTCTGACAGCTTGCAAGTCCTTCCGATGTCTTTAAAAGCTGAGGCTGCTCAGCATGGTTAGCAGTTCCGAGGACTGGGTCCAAGGCTCTCACCATCTTTGTTTACAGATTCAGGGAGGTAAAAAATAGCCTCAGCACAACTTGAATATATTTTAGGGGGTTCTCTTTCTAAATGGCATTCTGAAGCAGGACTTGCTTCATGTACACCACGTAGAGGATGACCCGCCATGCAGCACAGCAAGCAGCTTTGTGGCAAAGAAGACAGAACCCTTGCACTTTGCATCCCACCTCTGGAAAAGGCTTGCAGGCTCTGCAAGAGAGCCAGGACGTGGGGAGGGGGAGGCAGAAGTGAGAGACAGGAGTGAAGTCCTCAGGACCATCCCAGAAGCAAGGAGCATGGACACTACCTAGCCAAGTGGGTGGACTGGCAGTGAGTCACCAGATGCTATGCAAGAATGGGGCAGCAGAAAGAAATGAGGGATCAGATGTATGGACAGGAGGGAGAGAGAGAGATGGACAGGAAGAACAAACACCATGGAAGACCTGAAGGCTATCAAGACCCTGATGGCTTGGGGGAAGACAAGCAGTTCATTGGAGAGGTGTGTGGAGTGTGGGACACCTGAGACCCCCTGGAGTCGTCTACCAAGCAGACAGACCCTGATTAGGCAGTAGGATGGCTTCCCCAAGGCAGTACCAGAGGCTCATGTGCACAATCCTGCCGAAAACTGGGGCGAACTATTGTAAACTGTTCAGCACCGAGGACCCGCGGGTGCCCTTTCAACCCCTTGATGGCTGAAGACCCCGGTCCCCTGCATTGTCACTAGAGGTCAGTGCAAGCCCAGCAAATGCTTCTGCTGAATACATCTTATGATCCTATGATTCGAGGCATGGGCATCCCCAGCCAGGGACAATGCTGCTTTATCATGGTATAATTCAGAAATAGGAGGGTACCCTAGCCTCACTTAGTCCTCAGACGGTCTCCCCACTTGCCTGTGGCGTGTCATGTAGAAGATGGAAGAGGTATGTCAGGTGCATCTTGTCCCACATAAGAGGTAACCTGATGGGAGTATTTATCACCAGTAAGAAACCTACAGGGCAAATGGAAATGGAAGAAGAAACCTACGGGAGAATGAGCAAAAACTTTCTAACCATGA